CTTGTCCTTTTGGTCTTAATGTCAGTACTGCTTCCTGGGAAAGCATCCTTGACTCACTAGGCAGAGGTCATGCCCCTGCTGTGTCCTTCCATAACTTTTTGCAACTACTTGTCTGTTGGCATGTGACACACTTTGTAATAATATTTTGTGTGATGGTCTTTCATCCAATGTCACAATACTGGAAATGTATTTGTCTTTCTCGCTGTTGTTTCCTTAGTGCCTAAAAGGTAGGAGGCTCTCAATAAATATTTGTTGAATAAATGAGTAAGTGGGGTCTGGTGGAAAAGAGAAAAAAATAAGTGTAGATAGAATGTGTGTGCACGAAAGAAAAGGTAGAGTTGGGGAGATGGAAAAGGTACAAAAGCAGTGAGGAAGGGTAGGGTCTCTAAGGACCAGTAGGCAAGAGGCCAAGTGAGGGAAACTAAACTGCAGCACTTGGCAGAGAAGTGCAGGGAGGGACGGGTAGGGAATATCTAAATAATATAATACACTGACCTTTTGAAAAAAGTTGTGCCTGTTGTTTTCTTTTTTCTTTTTTTTTTTTTGAGACAGAGTCTCACTGTGTTGCCCGGGCTAGAGTGTCATGGCATCATCTAGCTCACAGCAACCTCAAACTCCTGGGCTCAAGCGGTCCTCCTGCCTCAGCCTCCCGAGTAGCTGGGATTACAGGCATGCGCCACCATGCTCGGCTAATTTTTTCTAGATATTTTTAGTTAGTTATTCAATTAATTTCTTTCTAATTTTAGTAGAGATGAGGTCTCGCTCTTGCTCAGGCTGGTTTCGAACTCCTGAGCTCAAACAATCCGCCCGCCTCGGCCTCCCAGAGTGCTAGGATTACAGGTGTGAGCCACCGCGCCTGGCCTGCATGTTGTTTTCTAATTTGTGTTTGTAGCTAGCTGAAATGAGACAAGCTCAGTTGTTAAGGATGATTGCTGGAGCAATTTGTAGGAAGATATTCTCATTCTAGAGAGCACCCATTGTAGGAGCCAGTGTGGAGACTCATTCGTTCATTCATTTGTATTCATTCATGCATTTGAGACACTGTCTCATTTTGTTGCCTGGATTAGTGACAGTGGCGTCATCATAGCTCACTGCAGCCACAAACTCTTGGGCTCAAGTGGTCTGCTCGCCTCAGCCTCCTAAATATAGCCTGGGACTATAGGCGAGCACCACCATGCCCCGCTAATTTTTAAATTTTTTGTAGAGATGGGATTTTGCTCTGTTGCCCAGGCTGATCTCGAACTCTTGGCCTCAAGTTATCTTGCCTCTTCATCCTCCCAAAGTGCTAGAATTACAGGTGTGAGCTACCATGCCCAGCCACAGTTTTAAAGAAAGAATATGGCCAGACACTGAGCTAAGATAGACAGTTTTTATAGCATTGTCTAGGATTAATGTAATAAATTCTACTATAAGAAGACAGGTGGTTTATACTTAAGTTTATTGAGAGATTTGGATATGGATAAGAGCTGAACTCTTGGGAGGTGGGAGTAAATATAAATTCTGTTGAAAAGATTATAGAAAATTGAGATTACCAATGGTTAGAATTTTGGAAGTAAAGTGCAATGAAATATTGAGTATCTGAGAGGTTACTTGCTAGTGAAAAGACAATAGCAAGAGCAGTAAGTACCTCCGGTTTGGCCCCAAAGGGGGAGCTGTTTTTACTATAATGTTTATAATGGCTCCAGAATCTCCAATTTGAGATATCTAGTTATAAAAGAGAGCAAATTACAATCGAAACATATTAGTTATCTTCAAGGGCTTTAGCAAGCTACGTTTAAAAAATGCTTATTATAGAAAATACACCCAAAATAACCAATGATGTTACTATCTTGCTCTTTGTCTTAGACCTATTTTTATACATAACTGAAGATCATGCAATACGAATAGTTTTTTAAATCTATCCTTATTTAATGTTATAGCATTCTTCCATGTTCTTAAAAAGCTATTGTAAACGGCATTTTAAGTGGTTGCAGGTTTTTTTCACCTGTTTTTGGAAATGCTATAACTTATCCACCTATTTTCCAGTTATTAATTTACATTGATTCTGGTTTTCTTAAAAATAATGCAGGGCTGAATAATGGATGTCTTTGTGCTTAAAGGCTTTTTCTTTACTTTGAGCTGTTTCCTTTAGCTTAGTTCAGTGGTTTTCAAACTTAAGTGTGCATCAGAATTATGTGGAAGCCTTGCTAAACACAGGCTGCTGGACCTCACGGGGAGGATTTCTGATTGAGTAGGTCTGAGGGGAGGCCTGAAAATTTGCATTTTTAACAAATTTCTAGGTGATGCTAATGCTGCTGGGGTGGGGACTATACTGTGAGAACTACTGGTCTATGTTATTGACAATGAAACTACAATGTTGAGGTTAAGTTTCTAAGTCAGTGGGAGTGATTATGATCTTGAATGAAACTGAGTTCATGTACCAACCTGTACAGGGAAGTTGAAGAGCTATAGGATCGTATTGGCGTCTCAGCATTGAGAATTCACATAGTTTGTGAACATGTAAGTGCTGATAAGTGCCTGGTTCAGTGCTGAGTGTTATGATGTAAAGATACTGTGATGAATAAAATATAGCTCCCTTTTCACCCTTTCATAATCTGTTTATGAGATAAGATAAATATGTCATAACCAAAAAGTACCATAAGAAAAATATAAACGAAGGGCTTTAGAATTCAGGGGAAGGAGAGGTCATCTTTGGTTGACATGTCAAAATGTAAGAGACTTAAGAAATAGAAGGTCTCAGAAGAGCTAGACTATTTAAAAGAGTTTCAAAAGTATGACATCAATAAAATGTGGGTATTTCAGCCAGGAAGGCCCAAGTTCAAAAGCCAGTTTTGTGCTTTGTAATAGTAGACAAATTATTCTCTCTGGAATCTGTTTTTTGATCTGTAAAATAAGGATAATACCCCAGGGATGTTTGTGGAGATAATGTATAATAAAACACCCAGCACAGTACCTTGTAGGGAGCACTCAAAAATTGTTGAATAAATGGTAAACTTCTTGAAGTTTTTCCATTGGTGTCACTAGGCGTTATAATTAGCAAGGCCAAATCACCAGCAACCATTCATTACCATAGAAGTGATTGATGCCTTCTGAAACAGCTTTCCTCTGAATTAAATTTAAAAGGAAAATTTTTTAACAAAATAAGTGATATCTAGAAAGTATGTCATGTGCTGCTACTTTATTTAATCTTATCTTGAGTTAGAACTTTGAACAAACTTTGCTTAAATTTACTTTCATCAGATAGCAGCATGCCTACCGCTTGCTTTCTTCATGTTTGCTTAAATATTATGTAACAGTGAGGTGCTTTTCCTTCTTTGACCACTCTATATAAACTAGTCTTTCACATTCCCTATCTCTTTTATTTTGCTTTAATGTCCACAGCACTGACATATGTTTTCTTGTGCATTGTCTGTCTCTCCCACACTAAAATGTGTGCTCCATTAGGCAAGGCCTTTGTTCTGTTAATGCTGTATTTCAGCACTTAGACCAGTGCCTGAGTCATAGCAGCAAATGAATGAATTGATGAATGAACCAATTGAGGATATTCAGGGGAAAGTGAAAGAAAAGTATTGGGTTGATTCTTTCTTTTTTCTTTTTCTTTTTCTTTCTTTTCTCTTTCCAGTGGGGGCTTCCATTTTGGAAACTTCTGATATCAGAATTTTAGGACTTTCATTTGAGATTGTCAGATTTCCAGATTTCTCTGGAATGCTGGCCTAATTGCCAGCATTCTGAGAGCTGTTAGGGTAAGGAGGGGTAGGATGTTGGGTGGAGGATAGGGAGGGGATTTTGGAAAGGGGGTGTCTCTTGGCAGTGGTATATTTGAATTTACTTAATTTGTCTTTGTTTTATATTTATTTATTGACGTGTATTAGTTGTACATATTTTTGGGGTACGTGTGATATTTTGATACCTGTATACCATGTGTAACCATCAAAGGGTAACTGGGATAGCATCACCTGAAACATTTTTCTTTGTTTTGGGAACATTAAAAATCTTCTCTTCTAGCTGTTTTGGAATATACAATAAATTATTGGGTTTTTTTTTGAGACAGAGTTTCTCTCTGTCACCCCTGCTAGAGTGCAGTGGTGTCATCATAGCTCACTGCAACCTCCAACTCCTGGGCTCAAGCAATCCTGCCCCAGCCTCCCAAGTAGCTGGGACTACAGGTGTGCACCACCACGCCAAGCTATTTTTTTCTATTTTTAGTAGAGATAGGGTCTCGCTCTTGCTCAGGCTGGTCTCAAACTCCTGACCTGAAGTGATCCTCCCACCTTGGCCTCCCAGAGTGCTAGGATTACAGATGTGAGCCACTGCACCTGGCCAATTATTGTTAACTATAATTTCCCCAGTGTACTATCAAATGCTAGAACTTATTCCTTTTATCTAACTATTTTTGTACCCATTAACCAATTTTTCTTGATCTCCCCCTCTTCCCTGTCCAGCCTCTGGTAACTACCATTCTGCTCTCTACCTCCGTAAGATCCATTTTCTTAGCTCCCATATACGAGTTGAGATTCCTTCTTTTAAAACAGGTTTTGTGAGTATATTTAACATCAGTAGCAAAAAACTTGTATTTTAAGCTCCTGCTGCTATATTTTGAGGACATTCTAAGCCCTTTGGAATGATTTTGACTACCATAGCTTCTGCAGTGATACTTGTTGAGAGAAAAGGAAAGCATCAGGTCAAATAAAACCAGTGGCACGATCATAGCTCACTGTAGCCTCCAACTTTTGGGCTCAAGCTATCCTCCTGCCTCAGCCTCCCGAGGTGTGAGCCATAGACAGTTTTTAGAGACTCAAGTCACACAAATTGTCTTCTAAAAATCCTCCTGATTTTGGAGGAGGCAGGCTTTCGTTGATGAAAAGGGATTTATGGTTCCTTATGGGCACTTCCTAACATATTATGTCAGGAAGGGTTTATTGTCTGGCACTCTCAGTTTTAGTGATATTGCAATTGATTAGTAGGTTTAGGTGCTAATACCCTTTTTACCTTTATTTCAGAGAAGCTTGATTCTTTGCTCTCAGACTATGATATCCTCTCCTTATCTAATATCCAGCAGCACTCGGTAAGAAAAAGGGATCTACAGGCCTCGACACATTTAGAAACACTACTAACTTTTTCAGCTTTGAAAAGGTAATTTGAATTATTCATAGAATAATGTTGGGGGAGTGGAGGATATGGTTTGGCAAAAGCAGAAAAATAAGAGTATCTACTGAAATCTTAGGAAATTATATTCTAAAGATTTGTAGCTGATATAATTAGTCTGTCATATATGATTCTTATATAGTATAATGCCTGTTGTAAAATCCATACTGATGAGTATTTTTAAAAAACTAAATGAGTGTTCCAGGGTATTAACAATGGTAATGTTTATGAAATTCTAACATAATTAAAATTAATTGAATGCTTATAATACTTTGCATTTTTGGTGCTACTTTAGAACCATCTATTTATACCATGTATTAAATATTACCTTTATTTTACATATGAAGAGATAAAGGTTTTGTTTAGGACCCCACAGCCTGGTGGTGAGCTGGGTCTAGAATTTAGTGTTCTGCATTGAGTTCCACTTACTTTATAGCATAAACTGTGTTATATTTGGGCAGTAATTTTAATATTGCTTGTGTTTTATGGATTGAAATCTGTTCCATAATTGCAGGCCTGTTTCTAAATTCTTTTTGGGAAACTTTGTCCAATATCAAAAAAAACAAAAACACACAACACTATCAGAATATAAATGGGCTGAATTATTCTTTATTCATAGGATAGGCCTTCTCTACCACATTTAAAAAAAAATATGTGCACCTAGTTTAAAAAACAAACTACGGAGAATATAAAGTTTTTACTTCTTTCTAACTCAGTCCCACTTTCCAGACCCAGAAAGATTTCCTGTGTAAATTTTCAAAAATTTTGATGTATATCTTTTGCATTTAGATCTATGTATGTATCTCAGTGATATAGATAACATAGATTTCCCTCATTTTAAACAGCTGCATAAATATTTCTATTGCATAGAATTGTAATAACTTACTAGTATTCTACAGATGGATATTTTTTTAACCAAAATGATTTTTTTTCTATAACTAATAATGTTCCAGTGAATATTTTAGTAAATATGTACCTTATCTAGGTGTTTTTTATAGGGTACATTCTTAGAAGGAGAAGTATTGGGTCAAGGATATGTTTGCTATTAATGTTTATTGATATTTCTGTTTCCTCCTGAAGATATTAGACCAATTTATTCTTCTAGAGGCAGTATATGAATTTACCTATTTCTTGTTACCATTGCCAATAATAGATTTTATCAGCCTTTAACTTACACCCCTCTGAGAGGGGATGGTACCTCATAGTTGTTTTGATTTGCATTTTGTGTGAATTTGAGCATCCTTCATGTGTTTGTAAATCGTTTTATTTTTCTGTGAGCTGCCTTTTCATACTCTTTGACGATTTTTCTACTGGTTTTGTCTTGTGGCTACTGAATTGTAGTAGTGCTTAGCATATTAAGGAAATTGGTTTATTACTGCACATGTTATGGATATTTTATGCAAATTTTTTACTATATTTTTGTTTTTCCTAGCTATTGCCATCATCTTTAGGTTATTTTTGAATAACTTCTTTTTGGTAGATATGTCAAAATATTATGATATTGGTTATCTAGCTTTTAATCTATAGCAGATTCGAGCAGAGTGGTAATAATAATAGCTATAGTTTGTCAGATGCTTATTTTCTATAATTTACTTTGCTAGGTACTTTGCATAAGTTATTAATATCTGTAATTCTCACTATACTCTGCATAGACGTTGTTCCCTTTGAAGGCAAAAAGGAAAAAAAAAGAAAGAAAACCTAATAAAAAAAATTTGAGGTTCAGATTGAGGCTCAGAGAGGTTAAAAACTTGCCCGAGATCACTCAGCTAGTAAATGACAAATACAGGATTTGAACACAGGTCTGACTCCAAAACTTGCGCTATTTCTGCTACACTGGGGGGGGGGACTTTGATGAAGGAGTGGATATAGTGTCAAGAAATGAGTAGCAGCAAGAGAAAAGGGAGGAAATGATAAAATGATAAGAACTCAAAACTTAAGTTTCTGGGTTTCTGTTAAAAGTTAGATTTGAGGTGTCCTGTAGAATTCTTACTCTAGGGGGCAAATACTTCCATAACCTTACATATTTCTCTTTCATGTTTCATAGATGATACTGATTCATTAAGAAAATGTTAAACAATATCCACTTTTCTCTGTGTAGGGAAGAAGGAAAGTTTGTAATTTTCTTTACAGTTTCCATCTTAAATGTTTAATGGGAAATGTATCTAATGATCTATAAGAATTTTGTACCACATGCTTTAAAATAGGTTATTTCATTTAACCCTAAAAACCATTCAGCTAATAGGTGATACTATTTCCATTTGTAGATGAATATTTAGGTTCAGAGATTAAGACTAAGGTCAGTGAGTAAGTGGTAAAGGTAGGATTTGAGCCAAGTTTGTCAACTCCAAAGTCCATGTCCTTTCCTTTCTATTATATTGTGTTATTAATATTAAAGCTTCTTAAAAAAATACTGGGGTATCTAAAATAATCATTTTGTATCGGGGCTGAACTTAGCGAAGTGAAGCCACTCATTACTTGGTGGTGATGGTAAATGAGAAGATTCTGTTTTTAGATAGCAAAGTAATTTAACACATTGACTGCCACACTAGAAAAAAATTCTTTTTCCTTGGGGCCACGGTGTTTTATTATGGAAATAGAATAAAAACTTTGAAAACAAAACAACCTTTTCTAATTTAATGAAAAATTTGTTATTATTTTCTGTGCATGACTTATATGCAACTTGAAAAATAGTTCTCACGGCTCCCAAGGTGAAGAGATGTGAGTTACATATACTTCACGAGGCCTCGGGTTCAAAACTAGCACGAGTTAAGTACGACTCACATGGCAGTTAATGTGTTAAACCAAAATTGTTACATTAAATTTGAATGTGACTATCAGAGGTTGAAAAGGCATGGAAATACTGAGAGATGGTATGAGTTAAAGTGATTTTATGAAAAAAAGCATTGAAAATTTGCCTTACAAGTTACATTTCCTCTTTGTTGTAATCAAGAAATACTCTTATTCTAAAGTAATAAAAAAGCTGCAGATACTGTTTTGGTACTTTTTTGATAATGTCAGAATTTTTTTTGAAAAAGTTAAATGTTTCTCCTAAAAGTGAAATATCTCAGATTATTTAAAGAGGTATAGAACTGATAAAGAAATGAAAGTGATATACCCAGCTAAATAGACCATTAAAAATGGTTAGGAAAATGTTAATTCAGACTGCTGGTTAACACTAATCTGTAGTTACTGTAAATCCTTAAATTGAAAGTCAGAAAGATAGATGAAGATGTTCAAGAATTCTGTAAGTAAATGACTTCACATAATTTTGGGAGAATGAAGTAAAAGAAATTTTGACTGTCATATCCTGTTGGAGGTTTTATAGCTCAAAAGCTAAGAATGGGAAATCAAAAAACATGAATTTTACCATCACTATTTTTTTTTTTTTTTGAGACAGAGTCTCACTGTGTTGCCTGGGCTAGAGTGCCATGGCGTCATCCTAGCTCACAGCAACCTCAAACTTCTGGGCTCAAGCAATCCTCTGCCTCAGCCTCCCGAGGAGCTGGGACTACAGGCATGCGCCACCATGCCCGGCTAGTTTTTTCTATGTATTTTTAGTTGTCCAATTAATTTCTTTCTATTTTTTAGTAGAGACGGGGTCTCGTTCTTGCTCAGGCTGGTTTTGAACTCCTGAGCTCAAACAATCCGCCCACCTCGGCCTCCCAGAGAGCTAGGATTACAGGCGTGAGCCACTGCGCCCGGCCACCATCACTATTTTTATCTTTACTGAAAGAGCAGATTCTTAATGTAGAAAATGAAAAATACAATTCCAGTGATTTTTCTGGAAAGAACATTAAGTAAAATAATATTGCAACTCATAGAGAGCTTTAAAACTAAATAATAAGGCATGTATAATAGGGATGCTTTTCTTTTCAAAGTACTCAGCATAACTGAAGGAAAAAAATCATAACTGAGATGTGTGGGAAGATACATTTTAGGACAGCAGGAGAAAATGTTCCAAGGTTTTATGAAATAATGTTCTATTGTGTCTCTTTCCTTCTGACCATTAAAAAACCACAAGCAAACTAAAATTACCTTGTTATGTTCAAAAAGTTAAAAATATTTGTTGCCATGGAGACAGTCCCAGTCTAGATTTCTTCCTGGCAGTTTAAAGACTTATGCAAACCCATGGGGAAATAACACTTCATATTTTCAGCACCACAGCTGACAAAATTTGTTCGTGTGAGATGAATAACATACCTTTCTTTGTCTTTGGTGTTCATGAACACATTGAAAGAGTTCTGTAAATAATAATTGAAAAAGTCTTGCTCATTCCCAGTTTTTATTTCAGGACTGAAACTTGTAGAAAACAAAAAGAATTTTGAGCCAACTAAAGAACTAGAATGTAGATTTTAATGTCTATCTTGGATACCTTGTATTTATATCCCTAATAATTATGGATTTATTTTTTTCAAGATATGTTCTTCTAAGGAGAAAAAAAAAGCAAGAGGGCTTTTAAAAATAGAAAGCAGCATTTACTGGTTTTGCAAAGCAATAAGAATTTTCTTATATTCTACCCAGCTTGGTTGCTAGAGGCATCATTGTACAGGGTTTTGAAATAAACCGAGTTCATTTTCCAGTTTTACTGTTTACTAGTTGTATAACCTTGAGTAGGTTGATTAATCTCTAACCCTCAGTTTTCATTGTGTGAAGTGGAGATAATGTATACAGAGTACCTAATACCGAGTAAATGTTCAGTAAATGGCATATAATAATATTAGTCTTTAATAATGAATTTTTGAGTTAAGTATGACTCCGACTTAAACTACCCAGATGTGTGTGTTTCCTTATTTCAGAGTTTTCCAGAAAAGATGAATGCATAAACTCTTTGAATTTTTTTTCCTCTAATAACAGTTTATTTTGATCTGCCAAGTTTTTACAACGAAACAAATCAGTCTGTTTGTCTTTACAGGAGATACATTACTCTAAGTAAAACCTTTGTTATAACTTGCATGGTGTTTTATTAATGTCACCTCTTTGACTTGAAAAGAAAGTTTAAATGAAAATGAGGCTTTTATTTTATGTGTTTAGAGTAAATATGAATGCATTTGTTCTTCAGGCATTTTAAATTATACCTGACATCCAGTACTGAACGCTTTTCACAAAATTTCAAAGTTGTGGTGGTGGATGGCAAAGATGAAAGCCAGTACACTGTAAAATGGCAGGACTTCTTCAGTGGACATGTGGTTGGTTAGTATGGAGCTTGTTTGTTTGCTCTTGGGCCTAGGGTGTTAGGTCTCCAAATTTAACTTGATTGCATGTTCTTTTTTCGGTGGGGTTGGGGGAAGGGGTGTCATAGAAGTGCTTTGCCTGTTTGGCAGCAGAAACATTCTAATAGAAGAAGTGAGTATTATTTAACATGTCATACTGGCTGGCTGTTTGATGATTAAAATTAATTTCCTCTCAAGTGATAATTTAACCTTCTCTTGTCTTCAGCAAGGATTGTAGGCTTCCTTTATGAGATTTTAAACAGGGAAGCTGGGAGATAAAATAATTTACTTTATGATCCTTTTATGTATTTATTTGAGAAAATATATCAAACAAGCAATTGTAGTTTACTTTTTGACCTTTTTCTGCAATAAGATAAAAGAAGTGGCATTAAATTCCTCAAATAGTATAGTTCAAAACCTGTAAATTCCAAGTCATGCTTTCTACCTTCTCTTAGTTCTTCCTTACCCAGAAGTAGATAAAGTTCTTCCAGAAGAAAATCCACAGTTTTGTTTGTTTTGGGAAAGGGATAGATTTCCAATGAGTAGACCTGAGGCTACTTCTGAGGAAAGGCAAGAATTATCTAGTTTCTTTCTGGGGTCTTTGTTTCTTGGTTGCAGAGCTGTCAAAGTACCTAGGTAAATTTCACTCTGATGAAAGATTTGGTTGATTTTTATTGAGAGTGTATAGTTTATTACTTTATGTGAATATTTGTTCATACTAAATTTTTTTTTTCTCTTAAGGTGAGCCTGACTCTAGGGTTCTAGCCCATATAGGAGATGATGATGTTACAATAAGAATCAACACAGATGGGACAGAATATAACATAGAGGTAAATCTACATGTGAATTTTTCTCAGTAGCTTATCTCTCTAATTTTTAAAAAGCTTCTCAGTTGTTTTAAGATGGCACAGGTGAAAAGTAATTATAATTATTTCTTTTCTCTTTGTATTTAAAGCTTTTTTTTTTAACCTGGAAAGTAGATTTTTGAAAGAAGGATAATTTTTACATCTCTAAGAAGCTGTCTATAAGTGTAAGACAGGGTGCTATAAATATTACACATTTTAATAACATCCAAACTACATGACCAGTAGTCTTTTGTCTATCATTGTGAGAAAGAAATCTGTGGCCTTGCAGTATGTTATAGTTTGTTAATGTTGAGGCTATCTAATGGCAATGTTTTGGGGAGTCTAGCTTATCAGAAAGACTCAGAAATTTAGTACACAGTAAAGGAGCTAATATTATAAATGTATTCATTCTAGAATAGACAAATCACTGGAGTGTCTTAAACTGGTTTGTTTTTCCAAATCAATTTATGTCTTAAAATACCTTTATTTTAAAAATACATGCTCATTGTAAAATTTAGAAAATATTAATAGATTATCTGTACTTGGACAGATAACTACTGTTGACATTTTGACAAACATCACTCCAAGTTTTTTTCTATATGCATATACACAAATAGGTATACTGACTATTATACATTATACAGACTGTTTTTTCCTGCAAAATTAGGACCGTACAATATATATAGCTTGTCTTCAGATATTTTTCATTTAATAATATAATTATGAACATCTTTCATGTTGATATAGATCTAAATTAGGGTTTTTGATAAAGCCTGCCTGTTGATCCATCGAAACATTATTCCATTTATTTAACCAATCCTCCATTGATACTCAATTGTTTTCTTGCTAATTTTTGAAATAAAATATGCTATAATGAACAACCTTGGACATACTTTTTGAGGCATGTATTAATATTTAGTTGGAATAGTGCGGGTGATAGGTAATAGTGAAGGTAGTTAAAAGAGGAAACTGTAGGAAGCTCTAGGCTGTGCCAGGGCTTCATATAAACTTCCACATCACAGCAGCTTAACACAACAAAGGTTTATTTCTCACTTCTTGAAGCTTGGTGTGGTCTTCCTCCACCTTGTGGCTTTGACTTTTGGACACATGTCCTCTGCAGCTGCCACAGAACGAAAATAGAGCTAGAGAATCACCCAGGATGTTGTTAAGGGCCAGGCTTGGAAGTGGCCTTCACTCACGTTGTAGATCACTTTGTCTCTGACCTACTACAGAGGAGGCTGGGAAAGATATCAATAGTTGTCTTTGGAGCTCAGAAAGAGAAAACAGCGTGGTAAACACAGCATTGTTTCTGCCACAGTGCATGTGTCTGCTTATTTCCTTAGACTAATCTATGAATTGTTAATTCAAAATGTGTGCATTTAGTATTCAAATTAAATTTACTTAGAGTCCTCATTTTTTCAAATATTTCCTTTTGGAGAATTAGGAATTCTGTTTCCATCAATACCTTCATTTCACTAAGTACAAAAGTGAGTATAATTAATACTTCACTGTTAGATGGTTACTTAAAAGTAAATTAATGACGTTCCTTTAGGGACTTTTGCAAGAGATTAATAAAAATAAATTTTTTATTAGACAGGGTCTCACTTTGTTGCTCAGGCTAGGGTGCAGTGGCACGATCATAGCTCACTACTACCTCAAACTCCTGGGCTCAAGTGATCCTCCCACGTAGCTGGGACTGCAGGCACATGCCACCACACCTGTCTAATGAAAAAAAAATTTTTTAGAGATGGGGTCTCATTATGTTTCGCAGGCTGGTCCCGAACTCCTGACCTCAAGTGATCTTCCCACCTCAGCCTCCTGAGTAGTAGTAATAATTTTTAGTTGAAAAAGTGGTTTATTACTTAGAATGGTGATTTTCATATTATTTATTGTATAATTCTTATTTGCACTTACCTTGATGTAAAAATCATTGTTCATCTGCATTAAAATCTTAGACATAAGTGGGCAGGAAAATGTATGTATTTTATTTCTAACATATCATCATAAAATATTTTAAACCATCCCTGATTTTACCTTACTGTTTATGTCAATAAGACTAGATTAAACTTGAATCATGAGATAATTTTTTCTCCCCAACTTTTTGTTTTGAAAATGTTCATATCTACAGAAAGCTTAAAAAAATACCCTGTAACCCTTAATCAACTGCTAATGTAATGTATGTCACATTCGTTTTTCTCTCTCTCACTTTTGTCCTGAATTATTTGAAAATCAGTTGCATACATGAAGACACTTCACACCTAAATACTTCAATGTGCATTTCCTAAGAATAAAGGCATTCTTTCACATAGCCGTAGTAAAAGTAACATACCTGAGGAAAAGTAAATAATTCTACAATATTGTCTAATAATCAGTCTGTAGTCAGAATCTCCAGTCATCCACAAAATCTCCTTCATAGGTTTTTTTGTTTGTTTTCTAATCCAGGATCCAGTTAAGGTTCCTGCCTTTTATTTAGTTATTCATCAGATGATGTTTTTTCCAGCAGCTTATTAGTAATGGTGATAATAGGGTTAGCTGTTATTATTAACAATTACCTTTCTTTTGAAATCTTAAGATATAACTAGATTATTATCTTACATAATCTTCAGGTTAGGTATTATCACTCCCTTACCTAATGAGAGAAGTTATGCTCAGGTTAAGTTCTTGTCCAAGGCACATAGTGAGGTTAGGTTGAGGTTTGAACTCAGGTTTCTCTGATCCCAAAGCCTGCTGTCTTTTTCTATGCTAGCCTGGCCATACTAGGAAACAATCAGTGTGAATTTAGAAATGTTTGACCCAAAAGAAAAAATTTTTCTCTTCTATTCATAGGCCAAATGAGCTTTACTAAATGTGGAAGATTCCTACAGCCCAGGAGTTGGGTTAGTTAATTTTTGAGGTCTCTGCTAGTCCTGAGATTCTATAACCATTATTTCTTAAATCTACCTCATACATGAATTACAAAAGAAGGGATGTATGTGTGTGTATTTAATAGCTTTATGGAGATATAATTCATACACTGTACTATTCACCCATTTAATGTATACAATTTTGTAGTTTTTATAAGAGTATTTTAATAGAATTATGCAAAGACCACCACAATTTTAGAACTTTTTATGACCCCAAAAAGAAACCCTGTACCCTTTAGCCATTCTTCTCCCTTTCCTCCCTAATTCTCACAACCACTAACCTGCTGTCCCTTAGATTTGCCTATTTTGGTCATTTTATATAAATGGAATCATATAATATGTGGTCTTTTGTGTGTCGCTTTTTTCACTTAGATTAATGTTTTCAAGGTTCATCCATGTTGTAGCATGTATCAGTACTTCATTTATTTTTATTGCTGAATACTATTACATTGTATGGATAGACCACATTTTGTTTATTCATTCTCAGTTGATGGACATTTGGGTTGTTTCTACTTTTTGGCTATTACTAACAATGCCACTGTGAACATTTGTGAATAAGTTTTCATTTGGGCATGTGTTTTCATTTCTCTTGGGTATACAGTAGGAGCAGAATTGCTGGGTTAAATGGTTTCTCTATTTTTGACCTTTGAAGACCTGCCAGACTGTTTTCTAAAGTGACTGCACCACTTTCCATTCTCAACAGCATCTATGAGGGTTCTGGATTTCTCCACATCCTTACCGGTTAAGAGAGGGTCTTTGATTATAACCATCCTAGAGAGTATGAAGTGGTGTCTCATTGTGGTTTTGATTTGCATTTCCCTGATAGAGAAATGTAAATATCTTTTTTTGTACGTTCTCCACACGCTGCCTGGTTCTGATGAGACCAGTGTTCTTATAGAGAAGAACTTCGTTTTGAAAAAACAGAAACATCCTTTTGACTTGGGGTAACCATTGGAGTATGTTAGTTATGATTTAGTCTGTCCTTGCAACATTATAAATGCAGATTTTTAAAAAAATTTTCTGAAACCAATAAGTTTCGGGTATATCGTTGCAAATTTTGAGTTTTCTTTCATAAAAATGTTTGTTCTTTGCGTAAAACCTAGCATGGCAAAAAGGTGTTAAACACCTGAATGTTAAGGAAACCATAATGAAAATGCCACGTGAATAGAAACCTTTTCTAACTGTTGCTTTATCACCGTCACCTATAACAGTGCTAGTATACAGTAGGCATTAGATATTTTTGTATGAATGAATGGAAAAGAATATACATTTTTCTATTCTGGATCCTCTTAAAGATTTTGTAACTTATGCAAAGTATGTAGTGCTTTCTTCATATACAGATAAAATTATCAGAGTGAATAGTCTGTGTATTTATTTACCAGTATGGAAACTCCATATGACAGAAATGATTTATTTTGGATAAAATGCTGGTCAATTTACTTAGAAATGAATGTTATCTAAGAAGTAGCAAAGAGTATTGGAAGAATTTAGTATTTAGGAATTCTTGTTTTTGCATCTTAGTCATATATATTTTCTATTTTAGCCACTTTGGAGATTTGTTAATGATACCAAAGACAAAAGAATGTTAGTGTATAAGTCTGAAGATATCAAGAATGTTTCACGTTTGGAGTCTCCAAAAGTGTGTGGTTATTTAAAAGTGGATAATGAAGAGTTGATTCCAAAAGGGCTATTAGACAGAGAGCCCCCTGAAGGTAAGACTTAAAACATGTTTCAAATAAAAAACAAACATATTCCAACTGTCTTCAGCAGGGGTGGCTGTTAATTGATAAAAAGTAACGTGATTATCAACTAATTTTAGTTAATTGGGCTTGAAAATACAGTTTTGTTCCAGAAACTCTAATTCTTTTGTCTGTAATGTAAGAGTTGAAAACACTAGCAATTAATGGGAACAGTAAAGATTGGACTTTAAAAAAGATTGCATGAAAGGGAAGTTGAATGATCTGAGGGAAAATATCCTTGCAGGTATTTAGAAGTGACAAAATAATACTGTTGAAAGACAGTCTTCAAGTTTATAAAAAATTAGTTGGTAGCAAGAGAGATCTATGAACTACAAGAAGGTCATCAGTCTTGGGACAGATCTATTTAAGGTCATTTATTTATTAAACAGTACTAGAGCTTACAATATTTAGGGTCATTTACAAAACATATATCCATCTTGGAGATGTTCTTATTTTTAAAAACCTTAGAAAATATTAGTAGCATTTTAATAACAAAGAATCTTAGGCCGGGCGTGGTGGCTTACGCCTGTAATCCTAGCACTCTGGGAGGCCGAGGAGGGAGGATTGCTTGAGCTCAGGAGTTCGAGACCAGCCTGAGCAAGAGTGAGACCCCGTCTCTACTAAAACAATAGAAAGAAATTACTTGGACAGCTAAAATATATAGAAAAAATTAGCTGGGCGTGGTGGCGCATGCCTGTAGTCCCAGCTACTTGGGAGGCTGAGGCAGGAGGAACACTTGAGCCCAGGAGTTTGAGGTTGCTGTGAGCTAGGCTGACGCCATGGCACTTAGCCCGTGCAACAGAGTGAGACTCTGTCTCAAAAAAAAAAAAAAAAAAAAAAAATCTTAAACAATTTGATTAGAGAGATGTTAATACAAACTAATTTTTAATGTGTGATCTTGACATTTGTACTGTTACTTTGGTTAATTCATAAACTTTTTCTAGAAGAAAATTACTGATGGTTTCCTAGCACAGATAATAGGTGATTGTTTTAATCTGTTAAGCACTTCTTAAAGTTTCCATATTTTAAAAATTAAGGAGGCACTTTTCCTTGGTTTTGAATTCTACAATTTTTATTTATTTATTTATTTATTTTTTTGAGAAAGTCGCCTAGGATAGAGTGCGGTGGGGTGTCATCTTAGCTCATTGCAACCTCATGCTCCTGGGCTCAAGTGATTCTTTTCCCTCAGCTTTCTGAGTAGCTGGGACTACAAGCATGCACCACCACACCCAGCTAATTTTTCTATTTTTTGTAGAGATGGGGGTTTCAGTTTTGCTCAGGTTGGTCTCGAACTCCTGGCCTCAAGCAATCCTCCTGCCTCAGCCTCTCAGAGTGCTAGGATCACAGGCGTGAGCCACCACGCCCAGCTGAATTCCACAAATTTAAAACCACAAATATACTTTTTACTTTTCTGTCTTCCTCTAAATTGTTTTTTTGTTAAGCTCAAATAATGTTTGTTTCAAAAATATACTAGATTTAAAGCGTTACTATAAAAAACTCCTTGTTTTGATGAATTTTGATTTAATAGTGCATACAAATTCATATTAGAGCTTGTTCATCGGGTGAAGAGAAGAGCTGATCCAAATCCCATGAAGAACACATGTAAATTATTGGTGGTAGCAGATCATCGCTTTTATAAATACATGGGCAGAGGGGAAGAGAGTACAACTACAAATTACTTAGTAAGTATTTGGTATTCCATAAAGGGACTGGACAAAAAACTCATGCGGGTGGGTAAATTCCATTTAAGAGGAGGCTGTGATAATTTGAAACTAGTGAAACCAGATCTGTTCCAGATGCTGTTATTTTCTTAGAATATTGAAGGCTATTCTCTGAGGTTTTTATATTACTATATGAAAATTATAGTTTCATGAAAACCTGTTTTACCTTTGAACTAATATTTTCTGCACATTAGAATTTTTATCCATATTAGGTTTGGGGAGAGGTTTTAACGTGGTCCTTCCTTCTTTATACAGGTGAGCTCTTTAAAATCATCACTGCTGTAATGGCAGTGAACTTGTTGATGTCACGTGTGGATGTATGCTCTAGAGTAAAAAAAAAATAAGTATTTGTATAAACCTGTGTGTACTTTTTTGCCTTTGTGTATATTTCAAAGAAGAAGGTCAGTTCATGTTAAAGAGCTCATCATTGGGCTTTGTGTGAAATATATGAGACTTTCATGGTCATAATTAAATCTAGGGCAGAGATACAAAGGAATGATTTAAGTAGTGTTGATACTGGATTTTTAAGCATTACTTATTATTTTAAAAGTCAAGGAAATCATTTTTCATTGACATTCTTTGCTAGTATGATCTCATTTGTCATGGTAAGTTGGCACTGACCAAAATGAGGGAATAAAAGAGAATGCATCTATTCATGAACCAAGAGCCTAGTTCAGTAAAGACATCTTTCTCATTGCCTTGCCTTTCCCATTCTCTCCATTTTATTCCTACCCTCCCTCACCCTTCTTTCCGTTCCCCTCCATGTCAAGTGAATTATTATGAGGATGATTGTAATTCTTGTTTCTAAGTAAGAAGGATTCTTTCTTGGAAAAAGCTGCTCTCTTGATCTGGGTTTTGTTTTAAGGGGCTCCTCTTATTTTACTTCTTTGTTCGTTACACTACAAATATCAATATCATCAGAGATCTAGTCTTAAAAATTGCATTTCTTACGGTTACTTATAAGCAAAGAGCAGTTTCTTAGACCTATAACTTGCTTCACAGTTCCTGGGACAAACCTTATGAACCCAGTTTTCAAACAGTAAAATATTCTCTTTGAGGAATAGATCAGTAATTAGCATTTTGTTGTTTCTCATGTAGTCCTTGGGGGTTATGCTGTCCCTCTTACCCCAGTCTTTCCAAATCAGAGAACCTAATGGGGATTGCTGAAATGAGCTTGCTCCTTCTGGCCCTCCTGTTACCCATTTGTCAGTGCTGAACTTTGCAGGGTGAGAGTGGAGGAATGAGGTTAGCAGTTGTCTGCACTGCCTTTTACCTATTTCTGGGGAAGGCATTTGAGGTACTTGCCAAGAAATAGAGTGAAGGTGGAATACTTAGAAGGGAATACAGTTGACTCTTAAACAACCCTGGGCTTGAGGGCGTTGACCCCTCTGTGTAGTCAAAAAACTGTATGTAACTTTTGACTCCCTCCAGAGCTTAAGTATTAATAGTCTACTATCTATTGGAAGCCCTGCCAATAACATGCCAGTTGATTAACACCTATTTTGTAATATGTTTTATAGACTGTATTCTTGGAATAAAGTAAGTTAGAGAGAAGCAAATGTTGTTAAGAAAATCATAAGGAAGAGAAAATATATTTACTATTCATTAGTGGAAGTGGATCGTTTTAAAAGTCTTCATCCTTCACGTTGAGTAGGCTGAGGAAGAGGAAGAAGAGGGAGGGGGTTGGTCTTGCTGTCTCAGGGTGGCAGAGGCAGAAGAAAATCCACATGTAAGTGGACTCATGCAGTTCAAACCCATGTTGTTCAAGGGTCACCTGTATTTTAGGTAAATTGATTGACTTTTAAATTTCATTTTTTATAGTCAACTGGGATGGTAGTTTTTAAAAAGGCTGTTATTTGTTATTTTGGTTCTATATGCTGTTGATTACCTGAAATTTGGGGTAAACTGTACTATTGTTTTATTCTGGTAACAACACTTTAAGTTTGAGGCTAAGGGCTAGGAATGATTTGTTAGAGATGTCAGTGATAAAGAGTAGTATTTTAATGCTAGTTTTTGTAATAGAAGAAACTTTTACAGTGACATTTTTTCTAAACAATTTTTATTTCTGTAGAGTGTATATTAAATTGCAAAGACTGGTAAAGAGCTATATAATGTCTTTTTTTGTACACACAGATAGAGCTCATTGACAGGGTCGATGACATCTATCGGAACACTTCCTGGGACAACGCGGGGTTCAAAGGCTATGGGATACAGATAGAGCAGGTACTCATCGACAGGGACCGCCCGCGTCACTCAGTGTGTGCGGGAAACGTTTTGCACTTGTAGTCAAAACCTGAAACCTTGTTCTTAACACTAATGATAAATATTCTCAAATGCCAACTTTTTTCTAATAAGTTGTGCAGTGTTTTTGATATTAATTTTATATTAAGAAGTTTGTTGTCCTTAGGCTCATTTTAGGCAGAAAGTGTTTTAATGCCACCTATGCTCTCTCGCTTCTCTGAATTTATGGCCCTTTCATTCCCTGAAGCGTTTTTCCCCCTCTAATTATGCTTTAAGTCTTTAGTTAGAATCCTAGTACATATTGTTGAATTCTTAGAAAATTTCCTCAAAAATACTGTACTTTTGCAAGGCATCTATATATACAGAACCATTAAGTCTTTTTTCCCTAAATACATCCATAATAGAGTATGTCCAGCAATGATATATTGATGTCATCTTAATTATGTCTCATGGTAAAAGTTGTTTCAAATTGCTAAGAATAATTAAAGATACTGCCTGACATTGGGTATTGCTTTGGACAGATAGACATTTTGATATGTAAATTATATAAATTATTTATTTTTTTCCAGGCTTTTTGTACTAAGCCATATTCTTACAGGTTCTGTATGTAGTATAGAATATAGAGGTTTTTTTTTTTAACCTTTGAAATCATGCACCATGCTTATAAATGTTAAACTTTAATAGTACCTGTATAAAACTAAGAGAATTATTTTTCCTTTCTTGTTCTCTTTTACTGTTTGCATTTTCTTTATTAAGTTATTATTGGATAGGTAATATATACACATGGTACAAAAACCAGTGAAAAGTAAGTCTCTGCAACCTTTGTCCATTGTCAAACCAGTTCCTTTCCCCAAAGACATTCACATCACTAGATTAAATGTCTTTCCAGACATGTTGTATGCATGTACAGTGTGTGTATGTGTATGTCTGTATCTGACACAATGGTGGTATGCTGAACTCTTTTGCACCTTGCTTTTTCATTTCACAGTATGGTGGAGATGATTCCATATTGATACAAATAAAGGTGCCTCACTTGTTTTAAGATTAGCTGCATCTTGTTCGAGTTTTAGGGGACTTGTAAATAAAGTTCCTTTTTGCTTTAGGAACTTGGAACCAGTTGAAGAACATAGTAATGTAAAAGATAAAAACATCAATTTCTTTACGTCTGATAAAAGATGGATTGGAGGATGTGGTTTAGATGTGCACTCATGATGGACTTCCAAGGGCACCCCAGAATTGCCCTTGACCACCCAATACCAGAACTACAGAGCCTGTGCCCCAGTCACCTTGCCACACAGTGGCAGAGGAGGTCGGGATGGGCCCTCTCAGCAGACAGACAGGAAGAGAGACATCCAGACACCACTGAGCTGAGGATGGCTTCCTTCTTTATCCCAAACTCACTAAGACTTTGTTACTTTTTTTTCTTCGTAGGAGGTTTAATATCATTTTGTCTGAAATGCATGCACAAAGAGAAACCCCTATTATAATCTTTTATTCTTGTGGTGCACAAAGTGATGTACCTTTTTTCATTCTTTTCCAAATTATTCACTGTAGTTGTAATAAATATTTTGGGCTCATGTAACCCAAGTTATCATTTTTTCCAAATATAGGGGATGTGAAAATTTAGGAGTACATTTATAACTTTATAAATAATTCATGAACATACATATTTTCCATACCATATGTTTCTCAGTTTGTTAAACATTGACTATTAGAGCTAAAAAAATTTATGAATTTCGGTTTTAAAACATTTTTTCTGGAATGATAGCCTTTTTTTGAATAAAATAATGCCGTATTCAGAGTCTTATTTTTTTTTTTTTAGAAGTGTTCTAAGTATATTATCTCTTTAAGTATAGATTCGCATTCTCAAGTCTCCACAAGAGGTAAAACCTGGTGAAAGGCACTATAATATGGCAAAAAGTTACCCAAATGAAGAAAAGGATGCTTGGGATGTGAAGATGTTGCTAGAGGTAAGTTGTGGAATCCTGGGTATGGTGCTGTTAACACCACTTTGTGATTTCTAATACATGGATTCTGTGCGTTAATGAAGGAGCATAGTATTATAGAAAAGATGATGGAAAACCAGGAGCAGTCCCCCCAACCCCCAGCCAATCCTATAGTGACCCCATCCCCTGTAGCAGGGCAGACAGCAAATAGCAAAAAAACTGTGAAAAAGAAAAATAATATAAAGCAATGCTTCCTAGTCTTTGAGAATCTAGTGAGGCGCAGTGGATCTTCTCTAGAAAATAACACGGATACCCAATGTATAGATTTTTTGCACACTGTCTTGTTAGTTTGGGTCTCTCTGAAGTTTAACAGTTTATCTCTTAGGGCAGTAATTATAAAACAGGCTAAGAACATGTATTGGAGAGTAGAAATATAGCTTGGAGATCTGAAAGGTCTCTAAAGGAATTTTAAATTTTTGTGTTTTTATTCTGGTATTGAATCTAAAGAGAGTTAACTTACCCATTCTGTGTTACATGGAATCCTGCATATAACAGGATACTGCCACTGATTCAAATGTCTTGAGTTTGTACTATTGTTTTGCTGTAAAATAACCTTCTATGAAGTGATAGTTTTTATCTTTTAGTGTGTTGATACTAGTTTCCGGTTGCTGCTCTAACAAATTACTGCAAATTTGACAGCTTAGAACAACACTTTATTTATCTTGTTTTTTCCATGGGTTAGTCCAGGCATAGGATTCTCTGTTCAGGGTCTCATGAGGCTGAAATCAGGTTTTAAAAGCTTGAATGGAATTAAAGGGTATTATCAACTCTTTATCCAAATTGAAAACCACAATGTGCAGTATCCATATAATACTATGACATACCTTACCTAATTTGATCTGCTTACCACCCTGAGAGCGGATCATCGAGATAGCACCATTAGTCTTAAAAAGAGGATCAGCAAGTATATTAGTCATCTTGACTGCCATAACAAAATACCACTGGCTGGGGGGCTTACACAATAGAAATTTATCACAGTTCTTGAGGCCAGAAGTGTAAGATCAAGGTGTTACAGGGTTTGTTTATTCAGATGCCTCTCTCGTTGGTATGTAGATGCTGTCTTTGCTTGTGTCTTCACGTTCACAAGGTCCTTCCCATGTATGTGTCTGTGTCCTGATCTCCTCATAAAGACACCGGCCACATTGGATTAGGCCCCACCCACATGATCTCATTTTACTTTGATTACCTCTTTAAGGGGCCTATTTCCAAATAGTCATGTTCTGAGGTACTCCTGGGGGTTAGGACTTCAACATATGAATTTTGGGGTGGCAAGTCCATAACAAAAAAGTTGAATGACTTGTCTGTGGTTAGTTATACAACTAGTAATGGCAGAGAAGTATTGAGCAGCTAGATCTTCTGACTCCTAGAACAGCTGAACGACTGCACCTCTCTGCTTTCCTGTGGGCCTCCAGGCAGCCCACGTAAGGGGAGGAACCAGAGGGGAGAATGTCATGTTTACAGATGCTCCTCTCCTGTTCTCTTCCCTAGAATTTTCCCAGAAACCTCACTCTATTACCATGGAATTATCAAAATCCCAGTGTAGCCATACTTCATTACTCATACAGGGCTTTCTGACCTCTCATTTTAAGCATTTTAAAATCAGAATTTGGCTAGCATGGTAGCGTGCACCTGTAGTCCCAGTTACTTCAGGCGCTTGAGGCAAAAGGATAGCTTGAGCCCCGGAGTTCGAGGCCCTCGTAGGCAACATGGTAAGCCCCTGTCTCAAAAAAAATAAAAATAAGTACAAATTTTTAAAATCGGAGTCTCTGGACTGTCATGGTAGAGGTTTTTAAGGTAATACATAATATATGAATTTTGGTTTTAAAACACTTTTTCTAGACTGATAATCTTTTTTGAACAGGTAATGCAGTATTCAGTCTCGTGACTTTTTTTCTGGAAATGTTCTAATTATTTTATCTCTTTAAGTGCAGATGCACATTCTCAAGTCTCCACAAGAGGTAAAACCTCTTAATTTCCTTTTAAATTAAGAAAAAAAACCCCACAAACCCACAGTGTTGATTTAAATGGATTTAAAATGTTTATTTTAGTAACATAAAATTAGATATATGTACTTTCCTATAAGTTTATAACTTTTATATATATATTATGAAACCAAAAAAAATTTTAAATGAAAATTCCTATAAAACCAATAGAAACGTTGAATCTGCTTTGCTCTGGAGTGCTGCGATCCCCTGGCAGAATTGGGGCATCTCCAGTGCTGGGCTGTATGTCTTCAGAGCAGTCCTCAGAGGAGCAGTGAGTGAGTTCTGAATAGCTGGAAAAAGCTCCCCAGCTCTTCCCTTTTTGCACCCTGCCAGATGATAGCATGTGCCTCTCCCCTGTGCAGATAGGTGAGAAAGCCAGGGAATGGGCAATGCACTGCACAGGGTTATGGTTGCTGGTGCAGAACTGCAGTCAGTCATAGTTTTCTTCTGCAATATTTAGTTGAAACATCTTTCAGTTTGATGTAATTGTTAATCTAATTAATAATGCTTTTTTTTTTTTTTTTTTAAAGCAATTTAGCTTTGATATAGCTGAGGAAGCATCTAAAGTCTGCCTGGCACATCTTTTCACATATCAAGATTTTGATATGGGAACTCTTGGACTAGCTTACGTTGGTTCTCCCAGAGCAAACAGTCATGGAGGTGTTTGTCCAAAGGGTAAGTTTTTCCATTTGTTGTGTGAATATGATGCTAGAATAGGAAGCTGATTGGATTATATTATAATTCTATATTTTATAAGCAATTTGTCTCTGTTTCCTTTTGCCTTTAGCTTATTATAGTCCAGTTGGGAAGAAAAATATCTATTTGAATAGTGGTTTGACCAGCACAAAGAATTACGGTAAAACCATCCTTACAAAGGTATGTTCTTTTATTTTTTAAAAGGATAGTTTGGAGTTCATTGTAGTAGAACCTCAGTCATTATATATTTATTTATGTGGGTATCTTCTTAAAAAGGTAATACATACTGTTTTTATTTCTGCCTAAATAAAATACATGTTTTTTTGGTGGGAAATACGAAAATTAAAGAAACGTATAAAGAAGAATATTAAAATGACCTGTCAGCCTTCTTTTGAGACGTAAGGATTTTGGTTTTCCTGGAGCCCTCCAACCTGCAGCTTCTCTCGAGGCTCCCTGTCTCCTAGTCCTGCCCCACAGCTGTCACTCTGAGGCATCCCGCACTCATTTCCGGGACCCCATGTCTTCTTCTTTCTTGATTTATACCATCATATTGGTGTAGTATATCCTCCAGGAACTTCCTAAGAAAAGATACATGAGGTGCATATTCTTGGGATTTTACACATCTGAAAATGTCTTTATTCCACTCTTAAACTTGACTGATAATTTTGTTGGGTCTATTCTCAGTTCTCAGTTGTCTTCTAGTGTTCATGTAGCTATTAAGGAGTCTGAAGTCATTCTGAGTCCTTATCCTTTGTGTGTCACCTGTTTTTTACTTTCTGGAATATCTTAGGATCTTGTTTTTGCCCAGATATATCTGTAAAAAATGTGTTTGGCTATAAATAACAGAAAATCAGTAAACAGTGGCTTACATTAGGGGTTTACTTGTCTTGGTCAACAAGAAGTTCAGGGATAGCATTCCTCAGGTGGTACACAGCTCTCAAGGGTCCAGTGTCTTCCTAACTTTCACTCAGTTATTCTAAGCACAAGGCCTTTGTCCTCATGCTCGTCACCTCATAGTTTCAAGATGGTTCTCTTCCTTTGTTGGAGAAAGGAGGAGAAAGACAACGTCTGCATGTCCGGATGCGCCACAGTTTATCCATTCACCAACTGAAGGAAACCTTGGTTGCTTCCAAGTTTTGGAAATTATGAATCAGCTGCTAGAAACAGTCTCATGCAGGTTTTTGTGTGGACCTCAGTTTTCAACTTGTTTGGGTAAATACCAAGGAGCATGATTACTGGATAGTGGGGTAAAGGTGTGTTTAGTCTTGTAAGAAACTGCCAGACTGTTTTCCAAAGTGGCTATAATATTTTGTATTCCCACAAGCA